TTTTCTTTTTGCTTATGTGGTGCTGAGGAATCGAACCCAGGGCCTCACGCATGCAAGGCAAGCGCTCTACCACTGAGCCACCTTCCCAGCCCTTAATCTTATTTCATAACTAAGAAATATTATTCCTCAAGCAATTATAATTGTACACCAAGCTATATGAGATCAGCATTAATTTCGAGAAGCAACGAAATAAGGTTATGCCACAGAACATAATAGAGACAATTAGAACAACAATTTACTTCTGCTCATATACACCAGACCAACATTTGCAGACTGAGATTTCTTCAGTTCGTAAGTAAAAGCATGGTGGATTCAGGAGACCAGATTCTACCCCTGGGTGAGTGCTGTGGCACACAGCAAACCCAAGGAGAGATACAGGAACCAGCTACCAACCACGACTGAGCTTGGTATGAAAGCACACTGCATCAAAGCTATGTACCTTAAATCCCAAGAGAGGAGGTCTAGAGCAACTGGTCACAAACTTGAGTAGTTTGCGCTTTTCTTCATCAGTGAAGCCTTCTACAACTCTCCAAAAGATTTTAATGACGGGATGATCGGCAGAATAGCCTCCTAGGACAAAATGCACAAAATGCATTACAAACAATATCGAAGAGGATTCTCTGAAAAGCACCAGGCCCCAAACTCGGGGAATGACTCGCACGTTTCCCTGTACCTGCCACAGGAGGGAGGGAGCTGTAGAGCTATCTCCCCAGCCCCACCCTTATTTGGAGATGAGGGTTCTCAGGTCTTTCCTGCCCTTGCTAGTTTTGAAGGGTTTTTTTTGTCAGTTGTGGGTCTTGAACTCTGGGCCTGGGCGCTGTCCCTGAGCTCTTCAGCTCAAGGCTAGTGCTCTACCACTTGAGCCACAGCACCACTTCTGCTATTGATGATAAGAATCTCACAGTCTTTCCTGCCTGGGCTGGCTTTGACCCCCAATCCTCAGATCTCAGCCTCCTGAGTAGCTAGGATGACAGGGGTGAGCCCCAATGCCAGGTTACTTTGCCAAGAAGGCATGGAGAGCCAGAAGGGGGTGCTGGCAGGTCCTTCACAAAGTCTGACTTCTTTTTCTGTGTGTGTGTGCTGGTCCTGAGGCTCGAAATCATGACTTGGGCGCTGTCCCTGGGCTTTTGTGCTCAAAGCTAGTGCTTCTATTACTTTAAGCCACGGCAAAATTTCCAGCCTCATGAACTTTCCTGCCCAGGCTGGCCTTGTGCCACGATGATCCTCAGCTCTCGCCTCTGGAGTAGCCAGCTAGATGAGCGTGTGCCCCCTGAGTCTGGCCAGAAGCACCCCAAAGTCACCATCCCCAAGCAGACACTGAGGTGTCTGCACACATGACCGTACAGCTGGAGAATGGAAGACACCGGGACCTTTATTTTAATAGAGCCAGGAATTTGGCCAACGAGATCTTGGTATCTATGTTAATTTATCACCTCTCCTTCTGATAATAAAGTGCAGAGCATGGCCAACAACCAGCCCTGCATGTGACTAGACCGTTATTCTAAAATGTACTATCTGCTACTTGTAGCTTTTAATTTCTTTAAATGCTCCCTAAAACTAAAATAATAGCTATATATTGTTCCCTCATTGTTAATACACTATAGAAATAACATCAATAAAATATCTGAAGTGCACTAATTGGAAGCAAAATGACTATGATAATATCTTAAGTAAGCCTATTTACGGGAATAGCTAAGATCATTAAAGGTATAAGCCTTCAGTGCAAATTGGGTCATGCAAATAATCAGGTCCATTTCTTGGCAAAGTAAAGGTCAGACTGATTCCATTTCCTCAAACTTAAGACTATAATGTGGGGAACTTGAGTGTGACTTTAGGTATTGTTTGCCTGTATATATAAAGATTTGAGTTCAATTCTAAAACAGTTCAAAACGCCAATTCAGGGTTGTAATTCACAATGATCAGCACAAGTTTCCTAGGTGTACGTGTGCACCCTGGTACTGGGGCTTGAATTCAAGGCCTGGGTGCTGTCCAGTATTTTCTACTCAAGACTGGTCAGCTCTACCAGCTTCACTTCTAGCTCTAATAGCAGTCAACTGGAGATAAGAGTCTCACAGACTTTCTTGCCCAGGCTGGCTTTGAACTGCAATCCCCAGATCTCAGGCTCCTGATTTCCTAGGATTAAGGTGTGAGCCACCAGTACCCCACCTCACTTGGCTATTTTGTTCAAGGGCTGGCACCTTCTTTTTTTTGTCAGTCGTGGGGCTTGAACTCTGGGCTTGGACGCTGTCCCTCAGCTCTTCAGCTCAAGGCTAGCACTCTACCATGTGAGCCACAGCACCACTTCCGGCTTTCTAGTGGTTTATTAGAGATAGGAGTCTCACAGACTTTCCTGCCTGGGCTGGCTTTGAACCACGATCCTCAGATCTCAGCCTCCTGAGTAGCTAGGATTACAGGTGTGAGCCACTGTTAATTTAAAATCCTACTTTTAATTTGAAATCCTAGCTGAGTGCAGGTAGCTCAGGCCTGTAATCCTAGCTATTCAGGAGGCTGATGGCTTGAAGCCTGCTGGGAAATGCTACACATTAAAACTGCTGTGACCTGCTCTAGAATGTCCGTCGGGTTTCTGGCACACCTCCAGGAGGCACAGGGCAGCAGCAGCACACAGCACTGTCTACGGGACAACAACGTTGGCCTTCCAGTCCCACTTCAACTTCCAGCTAGTTTTACACTCCCGACAACACACGGAACCAAACACAACCAAGCTGCAACTAAGTGAAACTCAGCCCCGCCTCTCTCAGTCCCGATTCATGACACTGTTGTCAGTTCAAATAACACTGCTCAAGCAGTGTTGATTCCTTACTCCAACCTAGGATTTAATCCAAGCCTATTTCTGTAACAGGTGAGTTTAAAGGCTGAGAAACAGACTGAAAACTCACGTTCTAAAAGAGGATTATTTTAAAGCCATAACCAGAAGATTTAGACATCTGCATATTCAAATGTGTGTGTGTGCGTGCATGTGTGTGTCTTCTTGGCTGGGGGTGGGGGAGTGTGGGTTTGATGGAGATGGACATCTGGGACTTGTGCACAGGAAACACATGACAGAGCGCTGAGCAACACCCGCAGCCTCAGCCCTCTGCTTCAGAGCCTAGGGTCTAACCAGAGAGGCTGTGCCCTGTGCCCTGTGCCGCTGCCACTCCAGAGACAGCAGGGCAGGGGATGGAGACCTTGAGTACTGTGTGCATGCACACATACAAAGCACAGTGCTGCTGAACCAGATCTGTGCAACGGGAGACTCAGAGCAACACTCAGGTTACTGCCTTAGTTCTACTAGTATTGGTAGGACTGTCCTCTCTTGGAGTGAGAGGCGGGAGGAGGAGGAGGAAGTATTGGGAAAACGGGGGCCTCCTGCCTTGCTGATGGGATTGAAAATGAGGCGGTCATGGTGCAAACAGCAATTTCTGAAGTGAAACTGGGGAATAGCCACGTAACTGTGCAGCTGGAGGCGGTGAGACCTCCCACGTGTCCAGCCTCTGTGTTTCTCAGGGCTTTGCAAGTGGTAAGATTTTTAAACACAGAGTAAGCTGACAGGATGTTGTGCAGGGGTGCTTAGGAGGTCTAGGATAGAAATGTCATATTCTACATTTAGCTGTGGTGATGGCTTATAGCTCTATCAGCTGTACTATATATTCTTGTATACTAAAAGCACTGATCTTTACACTCAGAGCAGGTAGGTTTTATGGCATGTGAATTCAATTGAAATAAAGCTGCTATTAAGAAAATTAGTTTAGGGCTGGGAAGGTGGCTCAGTGGTAGAGTGCTTGCCTTGCATGCATGAGGCCATGGGTTCCATTCCTCAGCACCACATAAGTAGAAAAAGCTGGAAGTGGTGCTGTGGCTCAAGTGGTGGAGCGCTAGCCTTGAGCTGAGGTGCTGAGGGACAGCGCCCAGGCCCAGAGTTCAGGCCTCACAACCGACAAAAAAAAAGAAAAAAAGAAAAAAGAAAATTAGTTTGAGGCTGGGAAGGTGGCTCAGTGGTAGAGTGCTTGCCTTGCATACATGAGGCTTGGGTTCAATTCCTCAGCACTACAGAAGCAGAAAAAGCCAGAAGTGGCGCTGTGGCTCAAATGGTAGAGCGCTCTCCTTGAGCTGAAGAGCTGAGGGACAGCGCCCAGACCCAGAGTTCAGGCCCCACGACCAGCACACACCCACCCACACCCAGAAAATTAGTCTGGAGACAGGTTGTGGTGGTTCACCCTGTAATCCCAGCACTTGGAGGCAGTCAGGATTGAGTTTGATGCCAGCCTGGGTTACATATAGGTATCTCTTCTCAAAAAAGAAAGTTTGAAACTCCAATAGAGTTGTGCAAAACAAAAAGAAAGAAAAAGAAAAGAACAGAATCCTCACAAGCAGTGGGAGGGCCCAGAGGGCACCGGACAAGGGGGAGCGCTGGCCAGCAGGTGCCCGTCAGGGCGGGGCGGCCAGGCAGGCAGAAGGGCGGCTAGCAGACTCCTGCGGGTGGGGGGCTGGAGGAGGCTGGGCTTCACTGAGCCCCAGGCCACAGCTCCAGCGAAGGAGGGGAGGGCAGGCGGCAGGCTCAGGGCTGATGGAGGACGGAGTGGGCACAAGCCCGGGCTCTGGGACTCACCTGGGCCTCCCCCAGGTCGTTGTTCACCACAGTGAAGTTCAGCCCCAGCTCTTCCACATCCTCCTCATAGCTTTTGAGAAACAGAAGGTTCCTGTACACCTCGGGGTCCAAGGAGGCCAGGTGATGGATGTCCACGTCGGCACTGGTCCCCAGCAGCTTGGACAGGAAAAAGCCTGCGAAGGGCAGCTCCACGAGCATGTTTTCATAAAGCGCCTTTAAACAGAGAGCAGACAGTGATTAGCACGTGCAAGCTTCCTTCTGCTTCCTGCAGACAGACACCGGGGCTTGCCACAGCCAGGCTGCCCATGCCTTCTGCGTGCAGACAGCCCTGTGGCAGCCGGGGACAGGCCACAGGATGCGAACGCAGATGGGCCCTTTCAGGCGGCAACAGAGACCAGCAAGTGTCTTCCTTAAATGTTTTAAGCTCGCAAGTGTTCTGGGCTTTGTACCGAGTCATCACGAATGACAGACTCATTGCAACACAAAGGTGCGGAGGGACAGGGCTGCCTCTGAAGGCTAAAATAAAGGGCTCTTCACCAGCCTTTCCAGCACTAGGGTTCGGTCATGCTTGTTCTTAGCTTCAGCTACATTACTCTACTGTGACTCTGCTTTGTGCGGCTTCTCCCCTCTCCCTCACAAGCAGTCTGGTCACTGGGTTTTGGAATCCTTCCTCCAAATCTGTAAGGATTTCATTTCCAAATGACAGTTGTATTCACTCTTGGGTATGCTGGGGCCTCGACGCGGGCCAGGCCATCTTTCCCAGTTACCAGCTCTGCAGTGCAGAAGCGGCTGACAGCATGCGCGATAATACCACATGAGCTTTACATGTTAGGAAATGCATCTTCTCAGCACTTGGCAGGCTGAGGCTGGAGGGTCTTTTCTTTTTGGTACCAGTTCCGGGGCTTGAACTTGGGGCCTGGATGATGTCCCTGAACTTTTGTGTGATCTACCACTTGATCTTGTGATCTACTATTTGAACTACAGCTCCACATCCAACTTTTTGGTGGCTAACGGGAGATAAGAATCTCAAGGAGCTTCCAGCCCAGGCTGGCTTCAGACCTCAACCCTCAGATTTCATCCTTCTGAGTAGCTGGAATGACAAGGGTGTGCCTTTGGCACCCAGCTGTCCCTTAAATTTTTTTTTTGGGGGGTCCGGTCGTGGGGCTTGAACTCTGGGCCTGGGTGCTGTCCCTCAGCTCTTCAGCTCAAGGCAAGCGCTCTACCACTTGAGCCACAGCGCCACTTCCGGTTTTCTGGTGGTTAATTGGAGTTAAGAGCTCATGGACTTTCCTTCCAGGGCTGGCTTTGAACCATGATCCTCAGATCTCAGCTTCCTGAGTAGCTAGGATTACAGGCGTGAGCCACTGGCACCTGGCTTGCATTCTGGTTCTTAAGCAACATTAATTACACACATAATGATTCCACTAGAAGCTGGTTTGGAGACTTGACTGCCTATAATGTCTCAGGAATCAGATTCAGTTGGGCTATCACATACCTGAATAGTTGGTGAAGGATTTTAGGTCCTCCAGACTTATAGGAACTTGTGCACCAGAAATTAATACCTAAAAAATAAAGTTGTAAAATTGGAGGCAGATTTTATTTTAAAGGAAGCTTTCCACCCCAACGGTCAGGAGAGAGTGTACCTGAATTTCCTGCTGGTCAAACATCCGGAGCCACTCCAGACTGACGACGTTGGCCAAGCCCTGTCGGAAAGCCAGGCAGTGTGGGCGGATCTGCTTGTTCAGCCGGTAGTCAGCTACCAGGTGGATGTACGCAATGCGATTGGCACCCGTGACAGGAATATCTTTCCCACCAAGCTTTAGCTCAACTACCTTAGAGGATGAAGCACAGGACAACCAAAGGTCCAGAGTATGATAATAGGAAACAAAGAAACTAATACAAAACAGTACAACCAGGATACAACACTGCAGGTTCAAAGATGACTCCCAAGCCAGGCACTTGTAATCTCAACTTGTCAAGAAAACTGGAAGATCACAGTTGGAAGCCAGCGAAAGTCCTTGAGACTGTGTCTCCAACTAAATCAATAAAAAGCCAGTTGAAGGTGTGGCTCAAGGGGCAAAGCACCAGTAATAAGCAAACAATGAAGAATGCATGGCACTGAGTTCAAGTAGCAAAAAAACCACACACCCCCAACAATAGCAAATTTATTAAAAAGAAACTTTTTTCTTTGTGCCAGTACTATTTCTGGGCACAGTCCCTTAGCTTTTACTGCTCAAGGCTGGTGCTTTGCCATTTAGGCTATACCTTACTTCTGGCTTTGTGCTGGTCACTTAAAGAGTCTCATGGACTTTCCAACTTGGGCTGGTTTTGAACCACAACCTCAGATTACCGCCTCCTGAGTAACTATGATCACAGATATGAACCACTGGCACATGGCAGACAATACTCTAAACAAATAAGCTTAAGCCAGGAGAGAATAAAGACGTTCACTCTGGAGAAAATGTAACTGAAAGCGTTGAGGCTGTGGAGAAACAGTAACTCAGTTACTGCACTGGTCAGACTTCTTTTTTTTTTTTTTT